ACCCCTAACCCCTAACCCCTAACCCCTAACCCCTAACCCCTAACCCTAACCCCTAACCCCTAACCCCTAACCCCTAACCCCTAACCCCTAACCCCTAACCCCTAAGAAACAATCGTGCTAAGGAGGGTGTCAAGGGTAGTTGCATTTACGTTGTTGGTAGCCCCAAAGTCACGAGTATGTAGGTATGGCATATCACGTCTACCTTTTTATTATCTTGATCCCAGTCACTCTAAGAGCTGGTTGTTTCAGATGGTTGTGGTAGAATTTGAGGCGTGTTTGGCTTTGGTGTTCGAGTAGATCAAGTATACATCTCCTTGGTACCAACTCTTTTTCCTCCATCTTCTGCTTTCCGATTCCGTGTCTGTCTAGTATTGGGACATTATCTTGGGTTGAGAAATGAGCTGAGCTCGCAGGGCACTCATGTGACCCTGTCCAGACTGGGAATGTGGGACAGGGGTAGGTGCCCGCGGGCAGATGCGCGGTTGACTCATATCTTCCATGTTGTGTAGTCCACGGGTAGTTGCATCGCTCCTGCGACCCTTTCCCCTGTCTGACCTCTTGGGGGTCAACCCTTTCTGTCAGGTCAACTCTACCAAATTGTAAGATACGTGTCAATCTAGACCATCAATACACAAAACCGTCACCATCAGATGTGATCAAAAATAGGCAGTGGTCTAATTCGTACACAGTGAGCATCTAGTAAGGTGGTGAGCTAATCAGAAGCGGTAGGAACAGATGCTCGGGAGATCAGGCAGGGAGAGGGCGCCAAAGTAGACAAATGAGGGTCGAATGTTGAATCAGACGCAAGGGTGCCGTTTCACAGTAACAATCACTCACTCGTGCAAACCATGCAAACCATACGAACGGGCTCGTCGCATCCCCTGGTCCTAGTTTGAATTTAGCATTTCAGCTTTGGGCATCGACAATCTTTTGCCCGGGGGCCTTGCGAGGCCGTTTTTTGATCAACTCTTTCTTCAAGGGTTCCTCTTTTCGGGGTTTTTCTTTTCAACAATCTTCCCCGTCTGTACGGCAGTTCACCCGGCCGAGCGTCCAGCTGTTTGATTTAAATCAGAAGTTTGAAGAGGAAACGCATCCAGGATACATAGCAGAAGTCTCGTATTCTGTCAATATCGGTCAAGTCTTCCAATCTCGGTACAAAGTCGTTGGAAAACTAGGGTTTGGTGGTTACTCTACGGTATGGCTTTGCAAAGATCTCACGTGGGTTTTTTCTCTCTTCAATGCCACAGTACAATCTCAGCAGAAGTTAACCAAGGATTAGACAGGACAAATATTTGGCATTGAAAGTGTTCAGACGGGACTCAGCTGAAGGCGAAAGAGAAATGGCGAACTACCATCGCATCAATACAGTCAAAAGTTCGCACGCTGGTGCTATGCTTGTTCGCACAGCGCTTGACAACTTTCAGATAGAAGATACTAGAGGAAGTTATCAGGTTATCATACACCGGCCTCTTGGTGTGAGGCTATATGACCTCCGACATCGATTTACGGAAAGAATACTACCTGAGAAAGCAGTGAAAATGGTTCTAGCGCATCTTCTGCTAGCCCTTGACTACCTCCATACAGAGACCGGCATCGTCCATACCGGTATGATATCACCTGGGCATCTTTCCTCATTGACCCGCCCTGAATGACATTCTTTCAGACATACAGGAAAATAATATCCTGCTGGGTATCGAAGATGAATCATTATTGGCTGAGTTTGAGGAAGACGAGAAATCCAATCCCAGTGCACGAAAAGTTGATGGAAATAGGGTGGTTTATGCATCGCGCGAATTCAGAACAACAGACAACTTTGGTCGACCGGTTTTATGTGACTTTGGTCAAGCTCGTTTCGGCTCTGCCCGTTACCATGGTGATATTCAACCTTACACATACCGAGCTCCTGAAATTTTGCTGCGCACAAGTTGGGATGAAAAGGTTGACATTTGGAATCTCGCGGTTCTCGTAAATTGCCCCCTCAAATCCATTTGTCGACAATACAACTAACTCAATCAGACATGGAACATCTTCCAGCGGGAGCCACTATTCTATGCTAAAGACCCAGAGAACAAAGACTCGACCATTCATCATATAGCTGAGATGATTGCGGTTCTTGGGCCGCCACCCGGAGACATGTTACAGAGCAACGACTATGCTACGAAATTCTTTGATTCAGAGGGTACGCTGTCTCTGCAATTATTGACTTTTTCTCACTGACCAAAAATAGTAAGGTAATTGGAGAGGCATGGCCCCCATACCATCAACCACTTTGGAGCAGCGGGAGGAATTCTTGCAAGGTGCACAGCAACAACTCTTTCTTGCCTTTATGCGCAGAATGCTTCAGTGGCGCCCAGAGGATAGGAGTTCTGCCAGAGAATTATTGGCGGACCAGTGGCTACTTTCCTAATAAGGTGAGAATTTAACGCAGTCCTCAAATGTCTTGTTCGTGGTATATTAGTGGAAGACATCCATTGGTTATAACAACCAACCCGGGGCACTGGTAAGAACAATGTAATGGAATCAATGAATATGCTCTTAAACTTTGGAGACCTAGACAGAATATCACGGATAATGATTCCACGTACATTGAGCCAAGCTGTTGAAGTAAGACTTCGGGCCGAACGGTTTCGTGGGCGAAGAATCCTGCTCTAAGTGCATCTGTTTGTGCAAAATGATTTCATGGCCTTTTGTTCCACTTGCCATCACTCGAAAATAGGAATCTGCCCAATAATGAGCTTGATACGGGCTGTTTGGTATTCAAGTTTGAGGCCATTGAACATATGATCCAGCTCATCCTCATCTTCGTTTGTAATACAGAGCCTGATTTGGCGGAGATGAGGAAAGCTGCTCCTTGAAAGCAGTAGTTTTGAGAGCTCAGATTTGAGCTCGATGTGCGAATCAATCACTATGTCTGTGATCTCCAAGCTCACAAGTGACTGTGGTAGGGAATCGGAGAGTGGCTCCGAATCTCGATGGGTTGCGCCATCACAAGACAGCCTTATCAGGTGGTCATGTCTAAATGTAAGCTGCTGTAAAGCAGTAAAGGCTCTGAGCGACCCGAATGGAGTTTCCACGGCTTCCGTTTCTTCCAATTGATCATTGTATGAATCTCCATACCAGATACGAAGACTCCTGAGAGTTTTCGCAAAAGGAAGAATGGCCACGCGAAATGTTGCGGCGTTGAAGGCTTCATCTTCCTCAATCTCATACTCGTCTGCCTGGATTTCGACGCCAATCGAAATCCGCTCGAGGTCTGTACACAGCGCTAACCAATCAAGCATACCGCGACACCAATAACCCTCTTCGATAACAATCTCCCGGACCGGACATGGAACCCGGTGGATGAGCTTTTTCAAGCTATTGTCTGGTCTTTTTTCGCCAATTGCAGTTCCGTAGAGACGCCGAACAGCAGGGAATTGAAAGAATGGTGTCAAAAAGTCCGAGTCGATCCATGAAGCCCCCCAGGCAACGCAGGCTCGGACTTCCTGGAGGTGAGGAAATGGCACGCCGTGCTGGAATGGTTGCTGACGCATCACCGCTTTCAACAAAAGATCCGAGATGAGTTCGGTCACTTCGTGTTCGAATTGAATCATTCGAAGGTTGGGGAGGCGAACGAGTAAAAGGCCTAACCATGCTTCCGCACACAATCCCTCTTCTCCACGGAGATGCAGTTTCCATTCTTTGCGTTGCTTCCGTTCTTTTGCCGAGAATATTTCATTCAATGCGGCGTCAATGAAGCAATCCATTTCCTGATCGACTTCCAGCGGGTCATGCTGGTCACATTGGGACCAGCACAAGTCCAATCGGTGGACTTGCCGAGCGAGTTCTGGCTCTCGCCATATGCGTATGATAAAGTAAATAAATTTCTCGGAGAATGTGTCAGAAGAAATATATGAATACATCAACGGGGAGAATATATTGTGGAATCGCCGGCAGCAAAGGCTCAGGGAATATATGGTGGATTGAGGGCATCGATCTTGCTGTGTATGCCTCCCGATCGTGAGAAGCAATTCCGTGGGCAGTCGATCCATGGTGAATGGGGATTTGGCGAAGCCTTGGTGACATAGAGAATCGATTTTTTGGCATGTCCGACAAATCCAGGCATCTTATACCTGATTTCACTGAAAAACCAAGGCGAATTGAGTTTTCGACATCGCATTCCTGTCTCAGGGGGTCCGCTCGGTGGACTTGGCGCCAAGACCCAGAACTATTGGTCAAATAGGCAACAGTCTGATTAGTCCTGGTCCATAGTAGCCTTCGACTTGGAGATGCAAATCCAGCTCGTTGCCTAGAACGCCGAATTTCAATTGTGTCACGCAATTATGAGGTTGCTCCCTGCATGAAGGCTTTGAAAATCAGGCTGCAGTCGGGTAGCATAAGCTATCATGAGTCCTGTGATCATGTGAGTCAAATGTACAGATTCTAGTTGAAGAGTGAGAGAGCAATGAAGTGGTGGCTCATGAAATTATAGCTTGCTTCATCCACTCCGTTCGCCTCATCGAACTCTGGTTTCAACAGGGAAAACACCTATGCCGCCCATACCAATTCCAGTCTTCTTGAGGGACATTTAAGCCGAACGAGGGAGAAACATAGGTCGAACAATGAAATGATCACTCGCATAATTATAAGGTATTACCTAGGGATGCGATGCACCGTACAGACAGCCTGGGCAGAAACCAATGTGTATATCCAACTATAACTTCACTGCCGGTTCCAAGAGGTGTCTCATCTCGGAGTTGGGGTACTCCACGTTCTCAGAGGAGTCCGGTCGTTGCCGGTCCCAAGCCCACTTCTCGACGAGTTCTGGCTCCAATTCGCCTTCCAGCATTTGAGTGATGTATTTGCCCAGGACAGGGAAGAACTTATAGCCATGGAATGAGCCGCACGAGGCTACATAAAGTCCTCGGGAAGCCGAGTGGGGAGAAATGATGAAGTCGGAAGTCGTGGTGAAAGCGTCCCTAGGGAAGGTTAACTCTGTCGGGAGGGAGAATCCAAGGGGACTTACCAGCAGATCCGATGTTTGGTCATATTCCATGTCGCGCTCTCGGGACCGTACCACAGATTCCGGGATTCAATGATGTCTTGCTTGAGAGGCCCTGGAACCTTCCACTGGTTATAATCATGCGTAGGCGGCGGCGATGAGAGGTGGCGTCCCGGGAGCACCTCTCGAGTGTTGGTAAAGATCTTGGATCCCCACCATTTGAGCTCTCGGTCCTTGGTGGGTGGAATACTACCAATGAAGGGCTTGCCTGTCTGCCGTTAGTCTCGCCCACGAGTGCCCGTGGAGAACTTACCCTCCGCTGGCGTATACCCCTGGAAGCCAACCGGCATGTCTTTGTACTTTGCGTACTGCTGCTCATCCAATTGGGCCATGCCCGTCGTAATGCCTGCGGCAAGGATTCGCTCCCCCGCGCGGAGCCCCGCGTTTCCACTCTTGGCCGCACTCCATTCCAGGAGTGTCGGCGTGAACGCGCCGGCGGCGACAATCACATGTGTGGCGGAGAGGATCTGCCCGGCTTTGGTGGCCACGCCGGTACACGCGCCTCGCCCATCGAATTCCAGAGTGGTCACAGATGCCGTCACGTACCGAACCCCCAGCTCTAGGCATCGCTTGGTCACCGCCCGCAGCGAATCTCCGGCTGCGGCCCAACCACTGGCCTTGTTCACCAACACCTCCTTGACGCCGGTGTAGTCAGCGTTGTCGAAGACTCCACCATACAATTTTCGTGCCTCCGCGACCGGGAGTGCAATGATATCATCGTGGCGGCCAAGCTCCTTGTGGTTGGTGATGACATTCTGGGCATAGTCGCTGCGACATGTCCAGTACACTCCGGTTTGGTGAAAGTGCGGCTGCCAGAGCGGATCGGATTTGAAGATCTCCTGGGACTCCAGGGCCAGCCGGCAGTAAACCTTGTCGTCGTAGTCTGCTCGCACCACTTTGTTCCAGTCCCATGACGCGGCCACTCGAGATTCTGCATCGTATGCATCTCGATCTACCAGGGTGATTGATGCATCGGGATACTTCTGAATGAGGTGGTATGCTGTAGACACACCAAAGACACCGGCGCCCACGATGAGGTATGAGGGACGAGCTGCAGTCATGGTGTGAAATGTGTTCAATCGGTTCAGTTGAGCTTCCAATTGACTTCCCCCGCAAGCTTATCTACCCGCGATGAATCCGACAGACGGTCCGTCTCTCGGGCGGGGGTTCCGATCGAGCCGATCACATGGACTCCGCATGATTGATGTGAAAGAGAGGGGAATGGAAAATAGAGGGGAATGGAGAAGATGATAGAGAAACAAGAAAGAAAGATAAAAGATAAAGATAGGCATTCGGTAAAGCACTTCAGATGGGCAGATCTTTCTAAATTCGACTTTGGAAGCGGAAGAACCCTCAGACCTGTAATAGTAACAAGTCCCATTGCCGGGCTTTTTATTTCAAAGATAAATTGCTGGTAATTAATGTTGATTTCTGATCATTGATCATAGCTCATAGTTGCTAATCAATCTTGCTAAACTGCTACTGGTGGACTGCCATACTGCCATACTGACAATGGCTACAGGTCAAACTCGACCCGGGCCGTCCACGGACCGTCGCTCATCTCGGGACCGATGCCGTCTGGTATTTTCCAACGTTCTACTAAGTATTGTAGAGATCATAGCGAATGGACACTGTGAAGATATTACATTAGCCAAAATTGCTACCTTGGTAACATTGATGGATTAAATACAATTCAATAACTAGTATGGCCTCTGAACTCAGTATATTTTCACATCGCAGGATGCTTGGAAAAGACTAACCTCGACGTTCGTGAGATCGAATTTGCGAACTAAATACTGAACGACAATCCACCATTGGCAGAGATGATGCTTCCCGTACACCATCCAAATTCCGGGTGACAGATACTTGCCACCAGCCCGGCAATCTCCTCTGGATAAGCTGCTCGTCCGCCGAACCGTTTTCCGGTATCTTGAATCTCCGGGGTGTCCAGGTCGTCGCGCACAGATGCCAGAGGGGTCAAAGGGTTCCACCGGCCGAGTATCTCTTTGATTTCATCGGAGGCAGCGAGATACTGTCCAGTGCTCACGGCACCGGGGTTGATCGCATTCACAGTGGCTTGTTCGGCCAGCTCCCGCGCCCAAACGCGGGTCATGGCCTCCACGGCACCTTTCGTACCGGAATAAAGGGTCGTGTTTTCAGTGCCAACTTTCGAGTTAATGCTAGATAGCATCACGATACGGCCAGAGCGATCTGTGGGCAGGTACGGTTTGCAGATTCCCGTGAGTAATACGGGTCCCAGGACGTTCACCTCGTAGATTCGTCGAAACTCCGCTTCCTTCACGGTCTCCACGGGGCCAAGATATGCGATCGCCGCGTTGTGAACCAGGACGTCAATTTGGAAGAGCCCCGAATTGGCATTGGTGAATCTTTCTCTCACGGCGGAGACGAGTCCCTCGCATTCTTCCCTTGAAGTGATATCGGCTCGAAATGGAAGGGCGACGACCCCATACATCCTTTCGAGCTCGGACGCAAGCTTTTGAGCGGCCGCATCAGATGCTTCACTTGTGTAGTTGATAACGACATTGCACCCTTTGCTGGCAAGGTTCTGGGCAATTGCAGCACCGATGCCTAGACCTCTAGTTAGCGGGAGGCAAGTACCCAAAGGTTTTTCATACCCCGAGAGGACCCTGTCACAATGGCAAGTTTCTCTTTATACACACGAGACGACATGTTTGTTTCCTGGTGTTTCCAAAAATCGATTGATGTCTTACCGGCCCAAACGGAAAGTCGGTCGAGAGGGTCGGATGAGGAAACATGAATGATCAAGAGTGGAGTGTGGATACTTTGTACGAGTAATTCAATCACTACCAGTGGGGTATTGCTTTCAATGCTAAGCCCTGGATCATACGTGGCTCCTGTCTTACAGAGTCAAAAGCACGACTTCGAATTGCATCGCAACCACAATGACTATTATGTTCAGTAAAGGCTGAGCTACAACCCAGGTTCGTCCCATTTTCATGGTTACTTGTCTCCAACCTCTCCGTACAGTTGAGTCCTTGTGTACAAACTGCTGTGGTAGGTATAACTTATACTGAAGTCCTCTTGCCGGTCTGTTTCTTCCAGAGACTCTTCTCCCGAGGTCCCTGACACGCTCATATTGAGTTTACTTTTGTCATCCCCTAGTCCCTAGTGCACGCTTACCATTTTGCGAGAGCACCACCATCGATGGGCAGGCAAACCCCATTCACGTAAGAAGATGCATCAGATGCAAGCCAGAGAGACCCATGAGCTACCTCATAGCTCTGGCCAAATCGGTTCAAACTCGTCACCTTCGGGGCAAATTCATCATGTGTCGTGCCCATGATCTCAAGTGCGGCGGCCGACATCTCACTCTAGATCTCATCAGTTCTCAGGTTTTCCAACAACAGCTTTCGAGGGCTCAACATACGTAGATAGGGCCAGGAGCAATAGCATTCACTCGAATACCCAGAGGGCCTCCTTCTGACGCGGCATGTTTGGTGAGCCCTAGCAAGGCATGCTTTGCGGAAGTGTATGCTGGCATGTTCGGCTGCGGCGAATACGCGTTGATCGAAGCAATATTCACAATAGACCCTTTGGCGCCTTGCTTCTTCATCTGCTGCATCTGATATTTGCAACACATTGCAGTGCCAGTCAGCGTCACATCCATCAGTGAGCGCCAAACTTGTTCGTCGAAGTCGATCAGAGGGCTCTTATCCGGGTAGTGGGCGGCATTATTGATGGCAACATCTAGACTGCCAAATGCCTTGACAGTCTCCGCGATAAGATTTTGAACGTCCTCTGATTTCGAAATATCGGCTTGCACAAACCGGATCTCTCCGAGGCGAGCCAACTCCGTCGCTACCATCTCTCCCTGTTCCCTCTTGATGTCGGCAATTACCACCTTCGCCCCCGCCTTGAGAAATACTGCGGCTGTCGCTTTGCCCATCCCCTGCGCTGCTCCTGTGATGATCGCAACTTTATCTGTCAGGACCGGAAATATCGGTGCTTCGGGGACATCCATCTTTTCTTTTTCTTGTTTTCTTTTCTTCGGTGGAAGATTCGAACTCGAGAATGGGCGACTTGTTTCCAAAGACACAGAACGAAAAATACCGCACAGAAGTACATCCAGATCATCGCTACCTGCTAGTTTTGGGGCCAAGGTGTGGGGAAGTCTAGCCGTGTGTTCACCCTAACCACGTATACCTCGGGGAGCTAGCAGGGGGCTGCGGCCCACAACAGCAGCGTTTTTGGCCCCCTGTCAAACTACTCGTAGCTGCCGCCCCATTTGACTTGAAACGGGCGACAAGCACCCTCTGCCGCAGTGGGACTACCAAAAATTGTATTCGCGGGGTGTTCTGGGCCACTTTTTGAGCTAAGCAATCTCTACGAGTAGATCTCCTCATACGCGAATCTGGTCAAATCTAGTCAAAGTTCATCAGCATTTGCGTGAGCCCGGACTGGGATTGTGCTTCCATCACTTGGTGTATGATTTGAATCAATCTTGTGGGCTCGTATGTGAATAAGTTTAGCCGACTGCTCGGCTACGGTAGTCAAAAGCACTGAAAACATTCAAAGTTCTTTGATGTAACAAAGATACAATTGTTCTCAAAGTCTGACTTGACCTCTCTCGACCTAGCATTACAGACAAGCAAGCAATTTGTCCAATCTCCTCGGCTGGTAGTGACCCGGGTAATCACCAAGCTCGACGCGACAATCCCTTCTCTAAGGGGAAGCACTCGTATGTGAGGTGGTCACAGAGCCTCCCTGTGCGTTGTTCTACTGAAAATTCCCGTTTTCGAGCCAAATATCGTGTTTTCATTGGGCTCAAGTTGCATTAGACCATGCAGCCAGTATGTGCCGATTTTCAAAGAGTCACACAACTACTTTGTGGAGGAGCAGGGAAGATTATACCAGATTCGCTAAAAGGGGAATTCCATGCAATTTCTTGTTTTAAAAGTATCGGCCCAAGTTTGATTCAATCTCCTTGACTGTGGCAACTGAATCGAATACCCAAGTGACATTTGATATTTAGCCTGAAACGTCAAGAAACATGGAGAAAACCGAGCAACAATCAGGTCGACCAGAAGAAAAAAGATCCATTTGTAAGAGCCGAACTTCCAACCGAGCAGCCACGCCGGAGACAAGTTTGGTCAACATATTGGTATGCTTTCACCTTTGACTTTGACGAGAACCATTCACTTACTCCGCAGGTCGTTGTCACAGCTTGTCTCGGCGGCTTCGTCTATGGATTCGCCGCCAATACTCTTTCGGAATCACTTTCGCAACCGACCTTCATAACCAAATTTTTGACCACGCCAGATCAAGCCTCCCTTCAGGATGGCATGCTCGGAGGGTATACGTTCCAACCCAAATTGAACCGCATTCACTGATACTATATATGGGGTAGGTTTCTCGGTGGTGCCCTGCTAGGTGTGCTGGCCCAAGCTCCATTGTCCAACAAGTTTGGCCGACGAGTTGCCAACGCCGCAGGCGGTATAATCTTGACTGTCTCCGGGGCAATACAGGCAGGGTCAGTCAACGCCGGTATGTTCATCGCTGGGCGTGTTATTTGTGGCGTTGGCTCGGGTATGATTTTCGCGAATACTCCTGTGTATATGAGTGAAGTCTCTCCACCTCATACCCGTGGTCTGCTAGTCGGTTTACACGGGGTCGGGGTGGTGACCGCATACATTCTGGCTGCCGTGTGTGCTCTCGCATTCAGTTTTGTTGAGAACGCTATTCAATGGCGTCTGATCTTCATCGTTCTCACCGCAATCAGTGTTATCTATCTGGCTACCCTCTATTTTATTCCCGAATCCCCTCGCTGGCTCATGGAAGTGAATCGCAACGCAGAGGCTGAGCGCGTTCTGGAATATTTGCACCGTACAAAGCGGGACCCAAGAGCAACATTTGCTCATGCAGAGGCACAGCAGATCAAGGCGCAAGTGGAGATCGAGAGGAACTCCCCAAGTGGTTTTATCTATATCTTTCGCACACCATCCCACCGAAAGCGAGCGTTCTGCTCCATTCTCTTGTGGGTGATGGGCCAAGCCACAGGCATCACCACGATTGGCAACTTGATCCCTACCCTTCTCGGTGCTCTTGGATTTGGCACCACGATGCAATTGGGCCTCGGGGTTGTGTGGGCCGTTTGTGCTGTCATCGGGTGTGGATTTAACGTTTTACTTTTGGACCGAGTTGGACGTGTTCGTCTTCTGGGTAAGTTGATTCGTCTCGTTCCTTCAGTCCATGTAGGCACTAATGTGCCCAGTGGTCGGTGGCTTTGGTTGCGCTGCCATTATTGGGATGATGGCTGCGCTTCAGAAATGCTACGCCAACACTACATTTATGCCAGGTATAAATGCGGCCGTCGCCCTGTAATTCATATTCGGGACCTTTTTTACGTCCACAATCGAGTGCACTGCATACGTATATGGCTCCGAGATCTGGCCCACGCATCTACGCAGTGAAGGGGCTACCATTGTATATGCTAGCTTCTTTGCCAATGCGGTGGCTTACGCTGCACCAGTCTCTGTCGCATTGGAGAGTATCGGGTGGAAGTTCTTCATGGTGTTTGTCGCAGTTCCCACCGTCGTGACAGCATTCATTGCGTTATATTTCCCTGAGGTATGCTTTCTTCTTCTGTGGGGGCTCGCAGCTAACGCCCTTTTTCATAGACCATGGGTCTCAGTCTCGAGGAAATCAACTCCAAGTTCGGCGATCGTGTGGAGATGGATTTGCAAGACGCCTTGGGTATCAATACTGGTAGCAGCTCGGAGCCGAGCAGCGTCTAGAAGACCATTATGGAAACGAACGCTATGCATACCATCATTCAAGCAAATAAAATCACCTCTTTGGTGGGTGCTTTCAGGTTACAACAAATTCAATGGGGTAAGACTCTCATCTTTTCGTCCTATTTCGAATCCTGTCAACGGCATTTCCCACCTTCTCGTTGGATATCATCGGAATCAATTTTTGATGACTCTCTTGCTCTCTGGGTGGCAACGTTGTCTCTTCGGCGCGGGCGATCTACGCCCAGAACCATCACTTTTTTCCCGCTTTCAGTCTCACTAAACCTCGTAGGGATCAACGTAGACTCTGCATTAGCCTGGTGGAGATACATCTTTCGGACGGCTCGCGGCCCCGCCCCGCTTGACAAGTGGCACTGTCGGTGCTCTTATTTCATATCAGTAGGAAAGGCATTGTTCTCGCTTGTCGGTTATACTGGACATGGGAATATAGTATAGCCTGCGAAAGTTACCCACGCACCTTGGTAAGAGCCTATAAATCGTGCGGAACTGCAAGCTGGGCCTAGAAACAGACCAAAAAGGCTGGTCCTTGCACTTGGTCGCCCACGTCTCAATCTTTTCGTTCATGGGGAATCTCGGCTCTGCTATGAGAAATGATGATAGTTCAGTTTGTGCAGATCAACCTCAATCTTAAATTGGCAATGAAAACTGGTGGATGTTAAACAGCGCATCGATTTTGTGGGCCATGTCTATTTGCAAAAACCCCCTTAGGACTGAGAAGTTTTCATCTCGCATACGAGGTTAGATAGGAAAAGAAGATGAACCCCATTTATCACGGCGATCAGGGCATATCTGAGGACTGGTCTGTTGTTGACCTTTTGTCTGTGTTGTAGAGCTAAAGGTGAACTAATTTTTGGGCTCCAGCGACAGTGTGGTCAGTGAAAGTAGGGCGTCAATCAACTACTCTTTTCAAATCGATTTTGGATTGCTTGCTCCCGTTTCCAGACAGAAAACTATTTTCGTTTTGCGACGATGTCTTACCGGATGTACTGTGTCGGGTGGTGTGCTTACGGGGGGTTTGTTCCTTGTTTGTCATGCCTTGCGCTGCAAGAAACGAAGACTAGGGCGGGTGCTGCATCGGGGGAGTACCGGTACATCGGAAGGACACTTCACTCGCTTTTCGACGCTTAAAGCGGAAGGTCATGATAAAAGACCTGTGTTCCCCACCGTTTCCTACTCACATAGACTCGTTAGATGGCGGGATAAGCTCAGGTGTTGGCTCTGGCATCTCAGAAAACGATTTGTCAAAGGGCCACATCGGACGGTGGATTCGGCGATGGCCTAGACGGGGTAGATCCTGGTCTACTCCCCCAGGGGTCAATGCCATCATCCAGTCAGCGGCCATGTCGAACAACTCTGGCTCAAGGTACCCGATCTTCACAATCACCACGTCTGTTTGGCGTGGATCCAGGTTAAGGTCAACGAAATCGCTCTCATGGTGGTATGGTTTCCGTAGCTTGGTCACGATGACAAAAAGCGTTCCCACTTGTAGGACTGCTTCGACCTCGGCGTTAGCATCTCCGTATTTGATCGAAAACACGATGCCGGTCATTGTCACGGGTCCAGAATGAAGGTGATCCACCTGTGCCCCCGCAGTGATGGTGACCATGGCGCCGATACCAGCCTTTATCATGGCATCGATTGCCTTGGGACCCGGGATGCTGGCATATATCACCGAGACACTGGTGTTGGTTTGCAGTTCGGTTCGCGCTAACAACTCCATCAAACTCGAGGTCACATCCCCAGCGCCGCCTGCAGTAGGATTGTCACCCGAATCGGATATGAAAAAAGGCCTCTTGACAGATGCAAATGCGGTGTCAAGGCATTTGGCCAGGGAGCCGGTGGGTGCCACGAATTGAAATTCCTCGCGACATTTCCAGAAATATGCGGCAAGCAGTTTTGCTTGCTCCATGGCCGTGGACTTGTTCCATCCAGTGACCATCACCACCGCATGGTTTCGAGGCTCATCTGCCCATGCATATCCTACCCAGATCCCAGCGTCAAGTATTTCTGGGATCGCTTCGACGACTGGAACGAGTCTGTATAAGCTCTTAGCTGGCTCCATGCGTGTGGAGGTCTGCTCCCCGGGTAACAAGATTGGAACCGAGACCCGTGCCTTGAAAAGTCTTCTTGGTTTCCCAGTCTGTGTGGGAGCAGTCAAGATGTCCACCAGATTCTGACACGCACGCTCTTTTGTTTCCATGGCGTCTTCGTGTGGTGCCATTCGGAAGCAGGTGATCAGATCTGTCCCGTGGGCCAGCCTTCTGGAGACATTCCCATGCAAGTCCATCGACGCCGAGATCAAAACATCGGGGCCAACCACAGTTCGGACTCGATGGAGCAGCTCAGCTTCGGCATCATCCAGTCCTTCCACGCACATTGCTCCATGTATGTCAAACCAGAGTCCATCGATAGGAGTGGCGGCGATGATTTGTTGCAATCGCGCTATGATTTCGCTTGCCAGCTGTTCAAAATCCCCTCTGACGACAATTCCCCCCGGCAAGGCATGGCCGATGAGAGCCCCTTTCCAACATGCCGCCTTTGCCAGGGGACTTCCCTCGTGTAGAAACTTGTATTTGTCGATTATTTCCGCTCCACGCCTCGGGTGGAAGTCCCAACTGACTGTGCGAGCGGGGGAGAAGCTCGAAGTTTCGCAAGCCAGGCCGGCAACCGCGATGACCGGGCGAGGGGGTATTTTCTTCAGCGTCATCGAATTCTGGGGTTAAATGATCAAGCAAGTATGTGAGTGACAGAAGATGTGCGGGGAGTTTCAAGTTGTGTCTTCCCCGCTTTGGGCAGAAATTACTCACCGTACAAGTCGCACTGCATGGTCGTTGAATGTACTTCGTATGAGGAGCTTTGGTTCAAGTTCACAGCTCGCGATTTCCGCTCTATGGCAGTGAGGACATGGAGTGGACCCTGGAGTGGGTACGCAGTACGGGGTCGTGGCGGTTGAAATCTATGCCGAGGTCCCTGACTTCGTTTCTTCAAGTCGGTGGCTATTGAGCAGCTTTGCATACCAATGAGGCAGTACAAAGGATTGAGGACCCTTCACATGCATCCGAAGGGAAGAGTGTGTGAGTGAGAGACACTACAATAAGAGAGAGCAAAGACGCGTTCTGCCGCAGACCGCCGATCCTCAATTTCGCGTTTCCCGTTTGTTTTCTTCTCTCCTCTCTCTCTCTTACATCCCATTGAATCCTCGATATCCAGTTGAATCATGACGGAAACCCCAACTCCCGCCGAGGTATTATTGGAAATTGCATGCTTCGATGAGCGATCAGCCATTTTAGCCGCCTCAGCTGGAGCTGATCGCATTGAGTAAGTACCGGGGATGATGGTATCTCCCAAGTACACTGCATCAAACATTGACATTACTCGAGGTTATGTAAAGACTACCACTCTGGGGGACTTTCGCCAGATGACACGGTTCTTCAGACACTGAAATCGGAATTGACGATCCCAGTATATGTGATGATTCGGCCACACGCGGACTCCTTTTGCTATGAACCCTCGGAATTCGAAGTCATGAAAGACACCCTTGCTGTCCTCAAGTCTCATGGAGCTGATGGATTTGTCTTTGGGATTTTAAATCGAGTGGATCAGAGAACGGGAACATGCACTCCCCCATCCGCGTGGATTGACATCCCTCGGAATCAGGAGCTGGTTCGATTGGCAAATGGCCGACCATGTACATTCCATCGCGCATTTGATCTCATCCCGGAGTCTCAGTGGGAAAGCGCCCTAGCAGACATCACCGAGTGCGGATTCTCGTCAATTCTGACCAATGGTGGCCCGTCGGGAAATACTGCAATTGAGTGTGTTGAGAAGCTTGCAGCGTTAGTTGATTGGAAGAACAGTCAACTCGCGAATAATCCACCCGGCCGGGGCAAAAGAGTTCCGGAAATCATTGTGGGGGGTGGTGTCAGGGCATCAAACATACAGCGGCTTCGTGAAGCTACTTCTGCGTCGGCGTTCCACTCGGCTGCTCTATTAGTCCCAGACGAAATCGTCTCTGAAGCCGAGATTAAGGGAATGAAAGCTCACCTGCGTGGGCCTGGAAATACTACGTCAGCTATACGCGACTAGACGAGGGCGAGGGGGATGAAGTAATGACAACTACAGAAAACTGCAGATCGACTAACTTCCTGAAGAGCTCCTACCAACAGTATCAGCAGCACCGGCTGGCTTTGGCATCAAAATCATGTTTGATGACCGGTCTACCTTTCGGCGTCCTGCGCATGATTTACACTCCGGACGGAAAGCACAGCATGTTGTGCAAATGCGACCGCGGAAAGCTTAAGAAAACACAGGGCTCTCGTCTCATAGGATACTCGACCCCAAATCCTTCCTGCGATTCGTGTTGGCTGGAGCTGCCGAGACCTCCAGGAGGCATCACAATTCGTTAGTGGCATATTGTCGAGCTATCCACAAAGTTTCCAGGCAGTTTTCAATATTTCCCGTCACTTTACGAAATTGATGCCAGTACCGGTGTAGAGGCATCGATATTCGGTTTGGAAGAGCTCTCTGCACTCTCTGGGTTAATTTAATAGACCGGTCCAACGATTAAACACTGTGCGGATCCTATACACATCTAGCAGGCCTGGACAGTCTCTTCCAAGGCGGGCCTCCTTATGGCCTGTTACTAGAGATACGAGGACACAGGATCCCTCCGATCTCGCAAAAGGGAATTACCTAAAAGCAAGCGATCATCGTTAGTGTCTGCAGCTATACAAACCCCACAACCAAAATGCGGGGTTAAGGTTCACATGGGCTCTTATCCGGCAATGGTGAGATTGACACTGACATGGCTGAAAATGGCTGAAAATGAGATCCTCTATGGGATTCTGTTACTTAAAAGGCCATCTCTTCCGGATTTTTCCAATTCGACCTCAGGCTCTCACAGGCCTATGAGACTACAACTCACATCTCCACTGTCAAATCTCCCATTTTCTACCCTTATACGACACGCTTCATTCTTTTCTCAACATGATTTGGAACAAGTTGAAGTCATGGCTCAAAAAGATTCAGGTTGAGCAGGACCCTGGGTTGACAACGGCACAGCTAATGTTGACAAACGACGACCTTCGTCCAGGTAAGTCCCTGGCGTCATGTTGCTTCGTGTACTGCAATAGCCTTTGCAAATTCTGGAAGGCTCCCTGTCATTTCATTGTCACTTACTTTGGAGTTTTTTACTTTAGTCGACCCTGATCGTCGTCAATGGGGATGGCTCAATTTCGTTGCATTTTGGATTGCAGATTCTTTGAATGTCGTATGTATAGATCTTGCCATTGCCTGCGAAAGCCACTCACTCTCCGTGATAGAACACCTGGATGATTTCGTCCTCCATGATCGTAGATGGCCTCTCTTGGTGGCAAGCCTGGTTATGCGTCTGGATCGGCTATACTATTTCGGCTATCTTCGTATATCTCATAGGTCGCATTGCCACGATCTATCGCATTCCATTTGCGGTCACCAACCGCGCTTCATTTGGAATTTGGGGCTCATTTTGGCCGATCATCAACCGTGCAGCAATGGCTGTCATTTGGTACGGGGTACAGGTATGTTCACCAACCCTCATCTGCGCTCACGGCTAAATTTTCACTCGAAAGACTTATCTCGGAGGTATTGAAACCCTGCAAGGAAAGACATCGTTGGAGCGTGTGACTAACTTACCTTCCAAATGCCAGGCGAATGTATCACTTTGATGATTGCCGCTATCTGGCCCAGCTATGACGATTTGCCAAACACAATCCCTGCTTCGTCGGGTGTCACGACCAAGCAATTTGTAAGCTTTTTGCTGTTCTGGCTACTCTCTCTGCCAGCCCTATGGTTTCCTATCTACAAGATTCGCCATCTTTTCACGGTCAAGGCATACTTCTCCCCCGCTTGTGCCATCGCCTTCTTTGGATGGGCGATTGCTCGGGCCCATGGCCTCGGTCCGATCATAACGCAGCCGAATACCGCTCAAGGCAGTGATCTAGCATGGGCGTTCGTCAAAAGCATCATGAACTGCATTGCAAACTTTGCCGCCCTGGTCATCAACAACCCAGACTTCGCCAGATATGCTCGCAAACCCAAAGATGCCTTCTGGCCGCAGTTGATTACCATCCCCGTCGGCTTTGCGGTCACCTCGTTTATCGGAATCATTGTTTCCTCTTCTTCCAGTGTGATCTTTGGTGAGGCCGTCTGGAATCCGCTCACGCTTCTGGGTATGTTTTTGAAGGGGGCCAGTTCAGCTGAACGGTTTGGTATCTTTGTCATTGGGGCGGGCTTTGCTTTGGCCCAGTTGGGAACCAACATTGCCGCCAACTCGGTATCTGCTGGTACCAATCTGACGGCTCTTCTTCCGCGGTTCTGCACGATTCGACGAGGTGGATACATATGCGCCGCAATTGGCCTTGCCATGTGTCCTGTAAGCTCGCGTGTGAGGCAACTAGGGAGTATCTTACTGACGTCTGGCTACAGTGGACTCTTGTGGAATCGTCCAGCAAGTTCACCCTCTATTTATCGGCCTACTCGGTTTTCTTGGCTTCCATTGCAGGTGTGATGGCTAGTGACTACTATCTCGTTCGCAAAGGCTATCTCGACATACAAGCGCTGTACAGCGCTGAAAAGGGCAGTATATACTATGGCACATTTGGAGTGTCATGGCATGGCTATGCGGCCTACCTTTGTGGGATTTTGATCAACATTGTTGGCTTTGCTGGTGCCGTGGGTGTTGATGTCCCCGTTGGAGCAAAGTACATATACCAGGTCAACTACTTCTCCGGGTTCATTGTGGCCGGAGGGATCTATTGGTTGTTGGCCTACTTGGTTCCGGTCCCGGGAACGAGTGATACTTGGAATGAGATTCCATACGAGCCACATCACATGTCTGATGCAGAAGAAAAGAACATTGAAGACGTGTGAGGGGGGGAATATTGGCAGGAGACACCTATTGAGACCAATGCGGTCCGGGACACTGAAGATCAGATGAATACGATGAATATGAATATTGATGATTTGTTCTACATAATCCCTCTTCAAAGTCATCTCTCATCTCCACTTTCGACTTGGGGTATCATCCAAATTCGCAGGCTAATCCCTTAACTCCGTCGGAATGGGCCGAAGCTCCAACAATCCCCCGCATCAGTGGCGTCACGTCCCCGCGGGAAGAGAAGATCGCTCGGCTGAGATTCTCATTGAATATTTCTATCGAGTAATCCCTTATCGATTTCGGAACAAGGGGCGATGTGATTTCTCGTCCCTCTTTTGATCGAGTAATAGAAACCCCCTGGATGAGGCGGAGACTATTTCCTTTCGACTCTCTCAATTCACCGGGGCACAGATCTATGCCTGTCAGATTTACCCCCCGCTCTCCACCGCACTCAATATTCCAATCTTGAATATGCAACGCTCAGCAGCACGATCGCCAGGGCCATAACCGAACATTCCTATCTCGGTTTCACTGCAAGGGTCAAACACGGACAAAGTTATATTTCACGAACTCAACAAGCTCCTCGTGCATCAAGTGTAGTGTCTGGAAACCCACTCAACAATGCTGGTCCTGAAGCATTCGATTTTCTGGAATTCTGGTCGGCTTCGGGTGAATGCTTGACACAACATGGGAATTATCAAGCTCGCGCCGAGCAATCTGAGACTGTTGAAAAGAACCAAGGTTTAAAAAAACATGCGATCGAACCGAGGCCTTCCAGCAAGGGTACTTCGCGATGTCTCATGCTGCAGAGTGCGGACAGTACAGTCGGGATTACCGATATCGGAGAGTGCAGTGCTTGGTCCTTTGACTTCCAACCGCATCAATACCCGTGGACAGCAATTGCAGAGCCTGGATTCTGAAGCCTCGGCAGACTGGCGTATACCTGAGTATCTTCTCCGATAAATCATTTGGAAGTACTTAAGTACTTCAGTACTTAAGTTTAGAACTTTAGAAGTACATTGTGATCTGGCTCAACTTTGCAGCACTCCCGATATATATCCGTGCCTCTAGGACTACTCCGTACTTAAGTACTTAAATACTACATCCAAAATCGTTAGGAGGCTAGCAAGCAACCTACTTAAGTAGAAGCCGCACTTGCGTCTTCATCCAACTTTAGAACCTTTGCAATTTGATCGATGGATGTGGACTACACACTTGAGCAGTACTTAAGTGATACATATAAGTAACAACATGGCTGATGCTAAAGTGCCTACAAGGTAAATCGAATTGGAATGCATTTATATTGTAAAGCAGAGGATTGATTAAAACCAGCACATTTGAAGTCGCCTGAGCGCATCCTGAAGTTCGTGGGTATGCATGGAGTATATTGTTTGATTATACAGAGTGGTGCAGACTAACCGCAAGCGGGATAGCCGGGCAGAGGATCGGGAAAACAAGCGCCGTTACCGCGTGACTTTCCTCAAGTTCGGCTTTGGACGTAAAGCCAAAAAGCCATTGAAACTCCAATGCCATACGGAGGCTTCTGTTTGACTCATTTCATGCACCACATGCATGCAGACTCAGGTGAAAACGCGGCTGGGTCAGCTGACTACGGGAGAGCCGTTCCCGACCTCGGGAGGTCCGGGAGCTAAGAGTTTTGCGTCGAGGGTCTCCAGCTTCGTGAGGCCCATCAACGCGATTAAATCGCTGTTTGTTTGGCTCAATCGCCCTAGAAACCGCCCGTAGTTTACCTTCACCGTATCTTGAGAGCCAATGGATGGGTATTGTGGCGTAGGTAGTCGTTGAAGAGCGGGTCGAGTATCTGCACAAGGACCCGTAGGAACCGCAATGGATCGCAAACCTCCAGAGCAAAGCTGTGAAGCTTGGAGACAAGAGCTCTCCCCAGTTTTGAGAAAGTAGTCTACGTGGAGAATCAGAGCTATGCAAGCTGGTCGAAAGAGCTCCTTTACGAACACCACGAGCTCCCCGTGGGGAGTCGGGTGAAAATCTAGAGAGGGAAGTTGGTACGGCGTCAGACTCAACACACAGAGTTTTGGTTTGGCTCTTTGATAGGTTGGATGGTCGTTGGGCCATATAGGACTCTATATGTACAGAAAGAAAAGTGTTGTAGATGACGCTGAAAGTAGTACATGGTAATACATCACGACCAAATACCCTCTGCGGGAGTAGAGACTCTCAAAAAATCCAAAATCCTTGTTTTGATGACGTTTTTCCAAGAATCCGAAAGCCCGAGTTGTAGATAATTTAGACGTACTTGCACATCATGGCAACCATGAGATCGAAGAGACCCATGGCCTCGACGAAGGCAAAGCCCAGAATGGCGTAGGAGAAGAGCTGGCCACGGAGGGCAGGGTTGCGGGAGACACTCATGAGGAGAGCGGCGAAGACGAGACCGATACCGATACCGGCACCACCGAGACCGATGGCAGCGGAACCCATACCGATGTTCTTGGAGACCTCAACCATGGCGGAGGCGACCTCGGAGGAGTACTGGCGGCGGCCGGCAGTCTGGAAGGCCTTGGCCTGGAGGAGGGTGGGAGACTGGATGCGCTTGGGGGCACCGAGGGTGGCGGGAGCCTTCTGGGTGAAGGTACGCTTGGTGGCAGCGTTGAGCTGGAAGCGAGCCGCAGGGCGGGCGACCTTGGAGGTCTGGGCCATGACGGAGGCCATGCGGGAGGCGAAGACACGAGAAGTGGCCATTGTGATGATGGGATATAAAATTAGAGGGTGGGTGGAAGAGAGGAGAAAGAAAGAAAGAGGAGAGAGATGGACTTTTCAGGGAGAAAAAGCTGGGAAACTACGGGAGACGGTCACCCTAGGACATAAATACTCTACGGCCAAAATTTTGCCCGTCCGCCTCCTGTTCGGTCCTAGTGCGGTAGTCTGGTAAGAAAAAAGCCCTACTCTGTGCGTGGCCGACGTATCCTATTCGCACATTCCTGGTGGGAATGCTGGGTACCGGTATGGTTTTGGTTTTTGGTCCATTCTTACCGCTTATTACCTGTCGGGTTCAGTCGGAAGGGCTCCACTGGCTTGTATCTATCAGAATCCCCTGCATTTACAGGGGATGACCCTTTGATCCCATAATGGACGAGTACGGAGCAGACCGATTGAGTTTGTATGAATCTATTCATGTATACCTGCCATCCGTAGACTACCTCGATTGATCCTTCATACTGCCTCTTCGTACTCATACTCGAAGAGCTGGAGTGATACTGTCACAGCAAACCAAGGAACAAAACAGAGAAAAAAACCCAAAAGAATAAGAAAATGGCCCTTGCAGTGGATCGGAGTGGATCTTAAGCATGTTCCAATCCTGTGGATCACTCCACTTTAATCAGCTCCTCCACCAATTATAATTTACTCGGATCCGCTATGTTTCTGGATCGCGTCCCGGAGTCGCCCAAACCGGCCCGACTCGGATTCCAGGCCCACCAACTACGGAGTCACTGGGCAACCATCGGCTGAAAGGAGTCGAATTATGTGGATGACGGTGGGGATTGTCTCCCCCCTTCTTTCTCGGGAATCCACTTCACCGAGTGGTCACATAGGGAACATACGTAACAACCTGACTCCGGCTTCCGGAATACTGATTCCAGGTGTGCCGAGGGAGCCAAAACACTATGCAGATGGCCTGCAGATGATCGGTTCTTATATAGATTTCCGCCAGGGGGGAACTGTCCGGAAGAAAAAGGAGAGAAAAATGGAGAAAAAGCCAAAGAAAATCACCAGCAAATCATATTCAGGTTGTCGTGTCGTTTTCAGGTCCACTTAGTCTGGTTTTCTTGACCCGCCGAAACCCGACTATCACAGTAAAACTTGGTCTGCGTTCCGGCCCCAGGAAAGGGAGGTTTAAGGTGAAAGCACAGCTGTCTGGAGTAAGCTTTATAGCTATCTGACACTTTCACACGGGACAAGAGACCTTTTTATACCCCAACGAATTCATCAAAGAAATTAAAAAAATCCGTCCCCCCAATTGCACCCCAAACGGGCCAGAGGCTCTTCGCATTCTTAGGAAATTTAATTTGGGACTTGTATCTCGGCTGATCGCAGCTTGGCGGGACCCACACAAGCTCGATTTCAGGGTGCAGCCGTTACGCATCATCCTTGCGTTGCTACGACTCTTTACTCATAAACTGTCAAATTGGAGAGAAATGGTTGAAGAGTACGCAGGACGGGATGTGCAGGGCAATTGAAGCAATTAACGTCAAAAAGGGAGGAAGAGTGGTTCGTATTCGAGGACAGGGGGCTCCGGTTTCGGGTGTAATCGGGTAATACCAATACTGTATTGGTACAGTGACCCATCCACTCGTCATGACGTGGGCGTCATACATCGTACTCACAAAGGCCAGTCTGGCGAAGAGCTATGGGGTAACCAGATTAAATATTGGGGTTTAAATATTAAATAATTGCTTAAGAGGATGGCCATACCCAGCACGGGAGGAATCCGTACGTCTTTGAATGATATTTGAATGATATCCAGCGTCCAGTGTCTACCATCCATCGTCCTACTCCCAGCATCCGATCAGGACTGTGTCGGCTTACTCGCCCTCGGCACACCTGCAATCACAAGGTCCAATGAGCGCCTCCCACCGATACAACACGGGTCTAAGAGCCGTTCGCCCGTCCTTCGATATCCGAAATCGCGTCCGATGAGTTCGAATCGCCTGAATTCCTGCACCTCGACTACGATACTTTGATAGGCAGGGTGCATGACGATAGCGCCGGCTTACATCTGTGCGTTGACGGACAATACCGGTTTCAGGGCTGCGGCTAGGGGAGCAAGCTCTGAATGGGGATTTGCGGAAACCATAGCTTCGAATTTGCGTTGCCGCGCTTCCTTTCACTTTCGCAAAACTTCGCCTGAGACGAAGAGTGACCGCGAAGCATCTGCATCGTCTTCGAAGTCGGGTGACAAACCTATTGAAGGTTGATCTGGTAGAGACGTCGATATCGCCTGGTTGGTCATGTTGGTCTCTGCAAATCCGTCTGTAGCACGTCCTCTGGACATTCGCCAGACAGAGTGTCGAGCCATTTGGTTGGGGATTCCCGTAGGTTTCAGTCGTACGCGTTGTAGCCGTAGACAGCCCGAGATCCGAAATCCCTGAAGATTTCACCGCATCTAGACAATGCCCTACTGATTTCTGTCTCAGAGGTCAGTGCTCTGTAGGCCCCAGCATGACTGATTCCGTGACATTCAAGGCCTTCGCCTTCATGCTCCGTACGCTTGTTGGGCGAGCTATCCCAAGGGCAACGCGCCGTCTGCTGCTTGAACCTCGGCCTCGGGCCTTGGCCGTTCGCACTGCTGTGCTTCGATTAGCATAATTTGCCAGAGTATTCGATCCACACATGCTGCACTCTGTATTCTGGTTGTCTTTCGAGCTGTGCCATACCAAGGGGGCGTTGCATCAAAACGCGACTGTTGATTCCTGAGGTTCGATGCCAAGGAAGATAAGATCGCCGGAATCCACCGGGGAGAACATCGAGATCTGACACCGCCATTTGGCCAATGGTCGTGCACACAGAGAAACAGAAGAATTCGAGGTTGTTTGAGGATTTATCAACGTTGTATCACAAAAGTGCAACTGGACGAGATACTCCTTACACCATACAGAGTAGATCACGATCAACCAGCTCCATGCCAGCCCAGCTTACTGCATTGGACTAGGCTTGTCCGTGTCTGGAGAAGCAAAAGCAAAAGATCAAAGCCTGGATAAGCTTGAAAGCAAAAAAGAAAGTGACAAAACTCAAAGGACTCATTCTTCCATCGCGCTCTTCAAGGCACTCGTCAAATCAACATGGAAGTAAGGCCGATTGATCCCATCTACAACAGCCATGCGTACCCGGCGAGAATCACCCATCCCACCCTGCCTCCGAACAATTGGAGTGTCATCCCCCGAGTCACGGAATGAAGAGGATGCACTGTTCTCCTGTGCCTCCACACCAACCTCAAGGTCCTTTTTCTCCACGTGCAATCCGGTCGACGAACATAGAGCCCCGTCCATCACCTCCGCTACATCAAAGATAGCCCTTTGCCATCCTACAGACCCATCAGAGACAGCTGGCCAGCCGAACCCAGCAGCTGCAAGAGCCCGCTTCGTCCATCGATTCTGCACGTGTGCGAAATGCCACTGCACGCGATCCGGCGAGGCCCAGCGGTCCAGCTGATTCCGGACGTCGATGAGATTCTGCACCGAGGTTACATCAACGTTGTTGACGGCGGCAAAGTCCAGAATAACAGCTTTGAGAGTTGGAAGTGGTGAGATAGGGATCTCGTTGGCCAGTAGAGCCTTTCTCTCTGAGCGCGTGGGACCTGGGTCATTCCATGGTCGATCTCCGGGGGTTCCCCATGCTTGTGGATTGGTACGTCTGGTTGTAGTGAAAATGTGGCTGACTAGATTCTCAGTGTAATGGCTAGCGTTTGGATAGTTAAAGCCGTCGGAGATTCTGTAGATGAAGATCCCGGGGCTTGCATGGTGGATTCTAATGCGGGGGTTGATGCCGCCTTGGTAGTCGACTGGAAGGTAGATTCTCCTGAACGAGGCGGGGTCTTCTTTGAAGCCTTCTCCGTTTTTGAGGGCGTTATCACCGACAACAGAGCACACTTGTGTGTAGCCGAGGAATTGTCCTCTGGCTTTTGCGAGACGGAAAAGCAAGACGGCGAGGGAAACACAGATCGTGACATAGATTCCTGTTTCGATAGTTGAGAAAATTATCACGATCACACCCACGAGGAAGATGACGGCGTCGAGGGGAGCGACACGCCAGAATTGATAGGTTATGCTTGGTGGTGTCACGAGATCACCTACCGCGTGAATGATCACGGCTGATAGAGAGGATTTCGGAATGTAGAAGAACAGCGCTGGCAGGGCGTATATGGCGAGAAGAACGACGACAGCAGTGATGACACCTGCTAGAGGGGTCCGCACGCCACATTTTGCCTTGATTGCCGTGCGCGAGAATGATCCGGTAGCTGGATATGCGCCGAGGAATGGACCGAGTAGATTTGAGATACCGATTGCAATGAACTCTTGAGATGGATCGATCGTATAATTGTTGACACGGCCGAAGGACTTCGAGATGGCGATGTGTTCAATCAACAGGACGATACATGCGGCAGGAAGCTCACTGACAAAGGCTTTGATGATCGCGATATCAATTTTAGGCACGCCTGCAGCTTTGAATCCACGCGGGACGTTCCCAAGCAACTTGAAGGCAGGGTGGTCACGTCGGTGTAGGTTCACTGCCGCACTGATCATGGTGTAGAAGAGGACCACGAAAGCAGTTCTCAGCGTCGATAGAAAGAAGAAAAGCCTCGCCCTCTGTGGCTGCTTTCTCGTGCCATAGTTGCATGCAGCCCGAATGCCGTACAGCATTGCCAAAGCTGTGAGACCCATCGCGGCATCCATTCTCGCAGATGGAAGATGCTTCAGCGTATCAATGATGATTTTGTATGTAGCTCCACGGGTCGAAAAATTTGCCTTTTCTCCAAGCACAGTCTTGACCTGACCAGCACAGACATTGATGGCGGAACCGGTCATGAAAGCAGTGATGGCCGGGAGGGGAATGAAGTCAACGATGAATCCGAGACGAAGCAACCCAAGCAGTAAGACAATAGCACCGCAGATAATTGCCAGCGCCGAAGCAATGGTCGGACCTGGAATATCGGGATGCACAGCCTGAACCCTGATGAGGATTGAGCCCATGAGGGTTGACATTACCGCCACCGGCTAGTAGGGTTAGATCACAAGGATAGAAAAAAATGGTCGGAAGAAAAAGAGCTGTGAGAGAGGGAAGAAGCTTACCCCAATGGTTATGTCTTTGGAAGTTGCAAAAAACCAGTAGATCAAAACGCCCATGAAGGAAGAGTATAGACCATACTCTGGAGGCAGCTTTGCCAGCTCGGCATAAGCCATACCCTGGGGAATCACCACCACGCCCACCGTAATGCCTTTGCTCGATCAGCCTTATTCACTAGCTCAATGCCACATGTCAACGTACCTGCGACCAAGTCTCCCGCCAACCACTGCAGATTGTAGTATCCGATCCAATGCAGAAACGGAAACATGTTCCACACATAGCGACGCACCTGTGGAACAGTGGGCGTGTGACCACGGAACCAATCGGCCGCCGTGGGCTCCTGCTCAAAGTACGAATACACGCCCTCCGTCTCGATGGGCGGTGGGACAGGGCCCAGATCAATGCGCAAGCCCTTTGCGATAGCGTGGCCGACTCGAGTCCAGATAGGCTCCCCCATTGCGGTATATATTTTTCGGGTCGTAGGCAGGGAGCGGGCGGTCGTAAGCAGAGAGTCTCCAGATTGCAAGTGAGAAGCGGAGTTGAAGGATGGTGAAGAAGATGAGAGGGGAGCAGAGAAGTAGGACAGTCAGGGTCTCCATTTTGGATTTTGCGATGTCGCGATTTTAGAGCCAATTGCTCAATCTTGTTCAAAGCAAACCAATCATAGGATATGAGGGGACCTGGTCATCCTCGCGTCACTGAAACTTACCCAGGTATACTCCGTGTGGTTACCGGCGATTGCAGGGAGTAGACTTGGAGTGATCCGTAAGCCCGAGATGTCACTTTGGAGCGAGAAGAGACAGTTCTTTAGAGCGTGAAGGGAATAAAAGAGCAAACAGAATAGAGAGAAGAGTAGAGAAGAGGAGAGGAGAAGCAATTGCCAAGTTGGTAGGGCTGCCCCACATATAGGGCTGAATGGAGTTAACTGTTTGGGGTTTAGTCGCCCTGAATCCTGTTGCCTGTTTGTGCGACGTTGAAGTATTGAGTATTTGAGTATTGGAGTATTCAAGTATTTGAGTATTTAAGTGTTTGAGTATTTGCGTATTCTAGAGGGGAATATATAGGGTATTTAGAGAGTAGAAGACAAAGTATAGTAGGGAGTAATAGGAGACTATAGGGGTATTCCTAGGATACTGCGTTTTCTATATTAAGAGAGAAGAGAGAAGAAATAAGCCACAATGATTGTATGTATTCTATTGCAAGTGGCCTGGCACAAACAGGCCCAGTACGGGTCGTGTCCACTACACAGCCACATCCCCTTTCTTCACACTCCCCTGACACCCTCTACTGAGTCTACTCCCTACTCCCCCTCGAATATCTAAGAATCAAACTTGTACTTCTCCTCCCGGTCCTATCCGGAATTAGCGCAACCTCATACACAACAAAGGACACTCACCCAGTATTTGTTGAATCCCACACCCTCGCAAACTTCGTCATAACTCAAGATCATCGGGGGCGCACCGACCAGCATGCTCCGCTTCAGTCCATCCAATGCAGAACGCACCGCCTGCAGATGAGCAGCGACCAATGACCACGGGTACGCCACGGCACAAAAGCCTAGCGCAGCCAAATCCTTGGCAGACAGGTTCTCCGTCTTACCCCCTTCAATGATATTGGCAAAGACCGGAATATCCAGCTCCTCCGCGCAGCGCTTCATCGCATCGCGATCCGGAAGTGCTTCGACGAAGACCGCATCGACCCCAATGCGCTTGAACTCCTGCGCCCGCGCCATGGCTTCCTCCCAGCCATGCATCAAGGCGTCGGTGCGCGCCATGATAAAGATATCCCGTCCCTCATTTCGGGCATCGCATGCAGCCTGCATACGGGCGTAGGCTTCACCGCGCGACACAACACTCTTTCCTTTGGTGTGCCCGCACCCTAAAACATGATGAGTTGAGCTTGATATACTGGGTGGGGATCTTACGCTTTGGCCACTGTTGATCCTCAATCATGATTCCGGCCGCACCGGCCGCAGCAAAGCTCTCGACTGTGCGCTTCACGTTCATCGGACTTCCATACCCAGTATCCCCATCTGCCATGATAGGCAAAGAAACCTGGCGGTATGCGTCGCGAATCTTGTCACACATCTCGGCCATGGCAATGTATCCGGTGTCAGGCAGGCCATAGGAAGACGCAACTGCATATCCGGCAAGGAAAACCATGGGGAAGCCTGCTTCTTCAACGAGACGGGAAGATAGGCCGTCGTATGTGCAGGCATGAGCTAGAATCTTGGTCGGGTCGTTGTGCGCTTCTAGCATAAGGCTGCGCAGGCGAGAGGCTTGGATGGAGGGAATTGCACCCCGAACATTCTTCAGAGTGAGAGTACAATCCGTGGTTTGACCATTGTGAGACCCGGCTGTGGTGCCCTTGGGGGTGTCGAATTGGAAGGGGTAGGGAACTGAGCTAGCAGACATGGTGGATGTTGAGCTGACGATGCAGGTGATGCAGGTGATTCTGGGGATTGATGATGATTGCGAGGCTGTGAGACTGTCTTAAATCTTTCTCTGCGGGCGACATCGGCGACTTTCATCTGCATGAAGTCACGGCGCGGGTATTTAATATCCGCGTCGCGGGATCTTCGCATTATGCGGGGCTGGCGGGCGCTTCGGCTCATAGGCCAATTCTATACTCCTCTTTCTGAAGTATGGAATGCTGCTTCCAGATGATACTCATAGCCGACATGAAGCTCTTCCTGGCAATAGTCGCTGCCATTCTCGTGGGCATGCATGCCACCCCCTTTCTTCAAATGGAACAAGCGCCAGGTCAGCGAATGAGGCAACTCATCGTCCAACAATCAGCCGAGTCTCATTGATGAGTACAAAAGTAGGCTAAAAAGGCAGTACAGGGGGCGGAAACTAGAACCCCTGGATCAGGGAGGTCTGGACAACCTCCAAATGGAGGTTTGCTAATATCCGATGAGCCGCTCCTGGCCAGCACAGCATAACACCCAGGAACCGCTGGAGATTCACAATTGTCAACTGCAAGGTCAAATATCCGTTGGATTGCGGGGAACCCGGCACTTGTCGCAGAGCTTGTCCAGTCCCCGTGGGGACCCCGCAAATCCACGATGCCAAGCATATCCCGGCAGTTGTACGTCTTTGCGACGTCAAGGGTTCTGGCAACGCATTGACCTACCAGAGACTATGTATTTCAGTCATATTCCTTGGATTATTTCCATCCCAGTTCAATTGATCGAAATCAATCTTCAATTCCATCCAACCGTACACAGCCATAATGTCGAGGAGCATCAAGTCAGAGCATGACTCAGGCTTTCAGCACATAGAAACAGGTGACGTGGAGAAGCATGAAGTCAGAGTGATCCCTGAGGAGAGACAATCATCCATTCGCAGAAAGGTGCATTGACATCCACAGTGGAACAGAGCAAATGTTGACAATCTCCAGTTCGATCGACGTGTTCTTCCTCTTGTCTGTGCACTGTACATTCTGTCTTATCTAGACCGAGGTAATTAACTCATTTCTTTTCTCGTACATAGCTGATGTGAGCAGGAAATATTGGCAACGCAAAAACTGCTGGCCTGGCCACCGATCTTGGCCTCACTGACTACCAATGGTCTTGGGTTCTATGCGCGTTTTACATTTCCTACATTGTCTTCGAATGGTCGACAGTGCTATGGAAGATCTTACCCGCTCACTCCTATATTGCGGTGCTTTGCATTTGGCAAGTTCTGGATCAACTATTCCCAAGCCATGAAAATGCTAACAGCCTACTAGTTGGGGTGCAGCCGCCATGTGTAGCGGCGCAGTCAATACATTTGCCCAGCTCCTCGCCACAAGATCATTGCTGGGCATCTTTGAGTCTGTCTTTGGCTGTGGGGCTCCCTACTTCCTTTCACTCTTCTACCAAAGAAAAGAACTAGGATTGAGAGTCTCTCTTCTCCTTGGCATGTCCCCAGTCGCCAACTGCTTCGCGTCAGCCTTGGCATACGGTATTACCCATATCAGAGGCTCAATGGAGTCATGGCGATACCTCTTCATAATTGGTGCGTCATACAAGTCCCGGCCTGTTCCTTCTCCGCTAACATTAACCAGAGGGCGCCCCAACCGTTCTATTCTCTGTAGTAGTATACTTCTACCTCCCCGACTCCCCTGGCACAGCCAAATTCCTCACAGAAACAGAGCAAACCGAGGCCATTGAGCGCCTCCAAGAGATCGACACAACAGCCAAAAACAAAGTCCGCTGGTCCCAAGTACTAAGCGGCTTGAAAGACTACAAGAACTACGTTCACATGGCCATCCATTTCTGTTGCAATTACTCCTTCGCCGGACTTTCAAACTTTCTCCCCTCAATCATACAAGCGATGGGATACACGTCCATCAATGCACAAGGCCTCTCCGCGCCTCCGTACCTATTCTCCTTCCTTTGCTGCGTCGCAGCAGCATTCCTCTCGGACCGACTAGCAAATCGCGGAGGCTTGATTACATTCTTTGCGATTCTCGGCACAATTGGATACATAATGCTGACTTGCGTGGACGAGACTAAGACTGCAGCGCGATACGCGGGCATTTGGCTTGCTACATGTGGTATATTTCCAGCACTGGCGCTGAATGTTACCTGGTTACTCAACAACCAGGGAGGAGAGAGTAAGAAGGGGGCTGGAATGGCGATTCTTGCTATTTTTGGACAGTGTTCTAGCCTGATCAGCAGTTCGGTGTTTCCAGATGCTGACGCGCCGCTTTACACCAAAGGTTGTGCCATTGGAAGTGCATTGACGGGGTGCATTGCTATTCTTGCGGTGGGATTGAGTATTGGTTTGAGCAGAGAAAACAAGAGAAGAGATCGGCTGTATGGGGCGGTTGGGGATGAAAGAGTTGATGTGACTGATGGGGATGCCAATGTCAAATTTAGGTATTTGATTTGATTATTGCAGGGTATCAAGTTGATGTACAGCCAAGGCAATTATTTGAATGGTTTGAGTTGCAATGCCAACCACGGAAATACCAGAGGGTCAATATCAGGATAATCAAGGGGGCAACTGCCACAAGAAATCCAGGTCTAAATCAACGCCATCCAACCGATCAAAGCCCCCTGTAGACCCAAATGGCGCCATGGATGAATCAAAAGGCAAAGCCAACCAATTGTTAAAAGCAGCATCAGAAATATCAATGTCCATGGATGGGTCATAAGAATCAGGCTCATGGCCAACAGCATAAGAAGACACCAAGCTTTCTCTCAGGCGTGAAACTTGCGTCTGTAAGAGAGCTGCATATCTCGATCTCAAGTGCACATCGTCCTGTTCCGTATCTAGCAGCGCGGTAATAGCCCGATCTAGTATTTGAAGCGCTTCTTGCAGTTTTGAGTTGCGCACTCCTAACGCAAGAGCCTTCATAAGAAAAATGGAGGAGCTGATGGTTCGAAAGAGAGTCCTCATAGGCGAGAAATGTAGAGATCCGCTCAGTGTGGTGACTTTCTCGAGGGTCTGGCAGCAGCCGTCTATGACTTCTTCTATGAAGCTGTACTCTCGGGTCGTCATGTTTAATCGTCTGGCATGTTCGATGAAAGATGGGTCGATCGTAGAAGCGTTCGGGGGATGGGCGCTATGTTGAAGCACTCTCTGAACAATCATTTGCATACCGATAGAGTTGACGAGAATCCGAAGATGCTGATACTCTATGAACAAAGTTTGGGTGTATGGAAGACCCGTATCTATTGGTGTCAGTATTTGGGCCAACTGGATTGCCAGGAACTGTACCTGATATGCTGAGATATCTGTGTTTCCAATTCGCTAGTAGCACCTGCTTTCGGTCTAAGACTGTTATAAATGCATATGTCGCACCGTCATTGGAGACATTCATGAGTGGAAAGAGAGTGTCCGTGACCGAACTGGTCAACTTCATCAGCTCGGTCCATGCACTCATGAACAGCAGCCAGTCCCTGTCGACCGACAGTAATGAGGTCCTTGCTTCTGGCATGGGTATCCCCACCTCTGAAGGCATAGGCGACGTACACCCCAGCCTCGAGGACAAAGAATTAATGAACGTGAATAGCAAGCTTGGCAACCGCCGACGGCGTACCTCCAGATACTCGAGATATCTTTCAGCGTCAAGACCGACTAGATCATCGTGCCTTGTTAGCCTTGCGGTGCAGCCAAATACACCTAGCTCGTGCGCCAGAGCCAGTGCAGAATTCAGAACCATCCACGACATCCGCTCGAATCTCTTCGTCGGCTCAACCACATCTTCACGCCAATTGGAAGAGACAGGCATGTCTTCTGCGGATGGTGGGTCGCGAATGTCGGGACTGGTCATAATAAAGTCCGAGTCCCAGCCATCCGTCTCGGGCGGGAATTGCAAGGCTCGAGGGTGCCATTCAGACATCAGCAAGAGCGCTTCAACACTGCCTATCGTTCGTGTCTTTGCTTTGGAGATCTTCTCCTGGCCGAGTGTGATGCGAAGTAAAAGGTGTTGGCAATGTTGCCATAATCGATGGTGAATGAAGAATGAACGCGAGTAGCCTCCTACACCAGGGAGAGTGTGGTAGCGAGATGATATCATGAGAATTGTGTAGCAAAGCATGGGCTCTTGGGTCACGAGGTAGTATTGATTCTTGTGTGAAGCGAAGAAGTTGGTCAAGACTGGCGAGAGGGGAGCCATATTTTTGAAGAACCTGCAAGAGTTAGCCACACTCACAGCAGATCGCAAAGGACATACAGATCCATCAGCTCCATGGCTTCGTGGGCGGAGAACCATCCCATTTTCACAAATCGACAGGCGTTCCATATCCGCAGGACGTCAGCATCGGTCAACTCAGGGGCGGTTTGTGCTGGGTCTCGTGTATTCTGGGTGGACTCTTGAAGAGCTGCCTCAAACAAGATGTCCATCGCGTCACTGTTATTCGAAACTACTTTTTGGAGTACAGATGTCGACAATCCATCCTGGTTGACTGGTGTATCTAAGAAGTCAATCACTCATGCCATAACATTCTCGTGTTCAAAGCCCGTCGCATACCTGGGCCACTGCGGGTATTCACATTTGATGACTGTTGCGCGCTTTGAGAATCAATTCTGGAGCGTCCCTCCCTCTCAGAGACCTTTTCTAGTGAAGATTCCTCTTGGCCTAGCCCATTTGTCTGATCTCGATCCCTCGACCAAGGCTTCTTCGAGTTGTAAGTGCAGCTTAGGTTCTTGGCGAGGCATCTGCGGCATTTTTCATTGTCGGGCTCACATTTGACCTTTCTGCGGGCGCAAGGTATGCAAGCCTTGTAAGTACGCTGGTATTCATCCAGGGCTTTCCCTCTCAGTCTGGAAGAGCGCATGGTGTGTGAGAGCGGATATTCGATGCAAATACCCGAACCCCACAGCAACGTTCTGCCGAGTACTTTTCCCCCATATTTTTATTTATGTATTATCAATTTGGTCACATGTTCATTTTTGTCAATTGGCATTTGGTGACATTACCATTAGGCAAAACACGACCACTAGTGAATATTAGAGTCAGATTCACTAAAATAAACTGGATGCACTTACCTGAGAGTCGTTGTCGATTTTGAGGAAGTGGATTGTTAACATTGTCCAAAAAGAAAAGGAATTCTCTACCAAATATGCGAATCTTTCAATCGTCACCACCTATCGGTGGAGAAGCTGTGTCCAGCATGCAGATTTTCTTCGATATGTATAGTCGACATGGAAGGTGCGGAAACACAGTTATTTACTACCTCGCTGTTACAGCGCTCGGCTGTCTTTCAATATTCCGAATCTCGTCGCAACCTCATTGTTTTCTCCGTCATGTCAAGACCTTGACATGTGAGATCGCCATATGTTTTTCGTCAAGATGGAGAATCATGTCCGGGAAGCCGATAACAACTTTCCCCACATGTTTATCACTTCCCGTCTTCCAGGGATCGCATTGAGAATAGAACAATATACAGAGCATTGGCAGGAAAGTCTGACTATATAATTGCATGGGAAAAATTGATCTTTACTTAAGTAGAAGTACAAACTGTTAAGTAGACCTGTAGACAGACCCAAATTGGGGATTAGTGAAGTAGCCCACCTGGGCATACACATCTTCCCATCATATATATTTCTGATAACCTCCAGGGCTTACCTAGAACTATGCAGTACTTACTTAGTACTTAATTAGACGCATACCTGCCGAGGTCGGGATGACTTCAAGGTTATACTTAAGTATTCAAGTATGCACGTCTTTGCCGCAACTCGGACCTAAGTCAAGCCGGGTGCTCCATGGATCGTCGGCAAGGATAAGGTAAGTGCCAGCAGGGTGTCAGTCCATTTGAAAAGAGGGAACAACTCGGTGCGGAGGTCCGATTGCATTGAGATTGTGAATGCGTTGTGATCGGCGCGGCAGCTTGGGCGAATTATATCATTGGCCGATTATGATATCTGTATCACCCCTCGGGGTCAAAACTTTGAAATGTATGGATAAGAAAGCCAGCTCATATTGAGCCTAGCATGATAACCAGATCACGATTGTCTGCCTTTTGGGCTGCCCTTTCGAGCGAGGTCATCCTTGCGAGCAGGGTCCCCAAGTACTAGAGACCCAGCCCATGATTTGCCTTAGGCTTCCCTTCAGACATGACATGCGACTTCGACCGAATATGTACAAGCATGCAATAGAATTATGGACTATCCAGAGTATAAGTAAGGATGCTAGAGGCCAAGCCTCAACAGGACTACAGGACATATGTTTTGCAGGTCTTGTGATGGTGAAGGAGCTATGGCCGTGGACGCACGCCATCTGCGGTGCAAGTGCCAATGTAGACTAGCAGGGCGTGAAGTGAAGCTAGTAAAGTTAGCAGCGTTAGCAGAGCACCTGGTGGCACGAGCTTTGTCAATAAACAGCCGGAAGTAGGGGTAATCCGGATGATATATTAATATCGAACACTTCGTCTAGCGGAGTAAAGAGAATTTACTCGTAGAATCCCGGAATATCTCGTATGAGGTCGACAAGCTCAAATGTATGAAAGAAAGAGAACCACAATGGGCCCATGAGGGATCTGCCAAAGTACAGGATGAGTCAGGAATACACCCCTTTTCATTGGTGGAGACCAGTGGGGCCCTGCACCTGTTTTTTTTTAGTGTCTTTTTTCTTTTTTTTCTCTGTTTTTTTCTTTTGTCGGTTTTGTCAGTTTTTTTGTTGGCAGCTGATGGGCTCTTTGTGCCTAACGTACATCAAAAGAACCAATTTGAGTAGTAGTCACTGGCTATCAAAGTAAAATGCCCAAGCACGGCTGAATAGATGAACTTAAAGGGAAAAATAGAGAAAAATCACCCCTCGGTAGCCTCGGCACCCACACCGCATGTTGGGTACGGGAGTACGGAGTACAGCAGTGGAGATTGGGCGTCGCTGGATGGGCTGCTACTCGTCACTGGTCTTTTTCGTACGGAGCCCTGTTGTTTCTGTGCCAACCCGCTGCCGTCACCGTTGTACATTGAGCTTCAGAATTTTTCCCTTCCCCCCCATTCTCGCCATACCCCCCCCAAACTTGCTGAGCGATTTCTTTGTGCATTGTATTCATCTTTGCTGGTCAAATTGCGATCTCTGATACCCCTAATCTATTACGACTTTAACGAACAAAAATATGGCGACTGTTGAAACGGCGATCCCCGCCGACATCGTCGAGAAGGACCTGACCGAGTCGACCGCGACTCTGGTCGAAGAGGCCGAGCCTGAGGTCCCCATGACTGCTGCAGAGAAGAAGAAGGCCAAGGAGAGAGCCAAGAAGAAGGCCAAGAAGCAGCAGAAGAAGCAGAGCGTGAGCTCTATCGCACCGGATGAGACCGAGGCAGAGAAGTCAGAGGCAACTGAGGCGACAGAGCCTGAGTCGATCGAAACCCCGAAAGAGGAGTCGACCGTGCCAGTGACTGAGGAGAAGCCTGTAGAGTCCACCGAAGAGTCCAAGACGGTGGACACCGAGCCCACCGCAGAGTTGACTCCCGAACCCGTCGAGTCGAAGCCGGTGGAAGATACTCCCACCGAAACCGTCGAGCCGGTGGCTGAGAAGCCTACCGAACCAACCGTCGAAGAGGTCAAGCCTGCGGATACTCCGGAAGAACCGAAGACCGTCGAGGCTGTGCCTGAGGCCGTCGCAGAGCCTGCCACAGAGCCTGTGGTGGAGGAGTCCAAGACTACAGAGGCTTCCGAGCCCATTGAGACTCCCGCTGCAGAGCCAGTGGTAGAGGAGACCAAGGTCGAAGCTCCCACAGAGACCACAACGACCCCCGAGCTGGTCGAAACCGTGGAGGCTGCTACCGAAGAGCCCAAGGTGGAAGAGGCTGTCGAGACTCCCGAAAAGACAGAGACAGCCCCCGAGCCTGAGACTGTCGCCGAGGTCCCCACTTCTGAATCCACAGAAACCAAGGCCACGAAGACCACTGAAGAGACTCCAGCTGTTGAGGCTGCCACAGAAGAGCCCAAGGCTGGAGAACAGACTGAGGCGACCACCGAATCCGCCCAGGAGACGTCCGCCGAAGCCCCCGAACAACCTAAGCCTACCGAGGTGGAACTTATCTCAGAGAACACTGCCGAGACTGAAGCAGTCGAGGAGAAGGCTACAGAGGCTATCGAGCCTGAAAAGACTGAAGCCGTCCCTGAGACCGCTGAACCTGTCACCGAGACTCCCGCGGAGGTCATCCCCGAGGCTGAGGTCACTGGGGCCAGCGAGGAGCCCAAGGCCGGGGAGCCCGTCGTGGAGGAATCCAAGGCTGAAGAAGCCAAGATTGAAGAGCCTGCCGTGGAAGAATCCAAGGTCGAAGAGGCCAAGGCTGAGGAACCCGCCGTGGAGGAATCTAAGGTTGAAGAGCCTAAGGCTGAGGAGGCTAAGATCGAAGAGCCTGCCGTGGAGGAATCTAAGGTTGAAGAGCCTAAGGCTGAGGAACCTGCTGTCGAGGAATCCAAGGTTGAAGAGGCCAAGGCTGAGGAACCTGCTGTCGAGGAATCCAAGGTCGAGGAGCCTAAGGCTGAGGAAACTGCCGTGGAGGAATCCAAGGTCGAAGAGCCTAAGGCTGAGGAACCTGCTGTCGAGGAATCCAAGGTTGAAGAGGCCAAGGCTGAGGAACCTGCCGTGGAGAAATCCAAGGCGGAAGAGGCCAAGGCTGAGGAACCCGCCGTGGAGGAATCTAAGGTTGACGAGCCTAAGGCTGAGGAGGCTAAGATCGAAGAGCCTGCCGTGGAGGAATCCAAGGTTGAAGAGGCCAAGGCTGAAGACCCTGCCGTCGAGGAGGCCATTGTGGAAGAACCCAAGGCCGAAGAGGCAAAGGTTGAAGAGACTAAGGCGGAATCAACCGAGGAGAAGCCCACTGAGACATCTGAGAAGGCCGAGCCCATTGCTGCAGCAGAAGCACCTGTCGCTGAGGTCACAGAAACCGCCGAGCCCACTGTCGCACCTGCCGTGGAAGCTGTGGAAGAACCCATTGTCACTGAATCTGTGCCCGAAACTACTACAGAGCAGATCGAGGCTGCACCCGAGACTTCTGAGCCTGTTGTCGAGACCCCAGCTCTTGAGGCTGCTGATGAAGAATCCAAGCCTGCCCAGGAGACTCCTGTCGAGCCCACCACCGAGGAGCCTAAGGCTGTGGAGAATGTTGAGCCTACCAAGGAGCCTGTGGCTGAAAAGGCAGTTGAAGAGCCAATCGTTGAAGCTGAGAACAGTGCTGACGCGAGCGTTGTCCCCGGCGAGACTGAAATCGCTACTGCTGAACCTACCATTGAGGTTTCTCAGCCCGAGAGCGTTACTGAGCCTGAAACCAACGAGGTGGCTGAGACTCCTACCCCCGAGGCCCCTGCTGTCGAGGAAACGACCCCCGAGAAGGCCATCGAGGAGCCTGTGGCTATTGCAGCCACTGAGTCCCCAGCTAAGACTGCCGAGGCTACTCCTGAGACTGATGCGTCAGTCCCTGAAACCGTTGAGGCTATTTCCACACCCGAAGAATCCGCTGATAAGGCGGAGATCGCCGAGCCGGTCCAGGCCACCGAGGAGCCCAAGGCCGAGGAAATTGTGGACGAGGTCGTGGCTGAAATCACCAAGACGGAGGCTGTTGAGACCGAAACACCTGTCGATTCTTCTATCACCGAGACTGCTGCTGTTGCAACCGCGGCTGCGGCCGTTGCTACTGCTGCTGTGACTGAAGAGATCGCTTCCGAGCCTGCTGCTGAAACTAAGGAGGAGGTTGATGCCAAGGTCGAAGATGCCAGCGAGGCAATCGAAGAGGCTGTCGAAACTGCTGTCGAGACTGTAGCCGAGACCCCTGCTTTGGAGAGTACTGCTGAGGCTAAGGAAGTGATTGAGGAGCCTGT